GTTTTCGGTTTTTCTTTTGGTATTTACATTCTCCATATGATTGTTATCCTTCTGCCCATTCTCTTTGTTTGTTTGTTTGTTTTGTGCGGGTGTTGGGGCGTACGTGTCTTGCCCCAGATAAATGAGCAAAGCTTTCAGAAACTGAAAGAACTGTCCTGTTTTCTTCCTCGTGTGGTTGCTCACCTTGCTACTATTACAATACATAATATTGTAACGTGTCTGGAATCCAGAAGTCACTTCTATGGAAACGCTAGAACAGACCGTTGCATAAGAAGTAACAATAGCGATACTGTAATTCCAACAGTGAGCTGTTGTATCGAGAACATCGAATCTCCACGGTAACGACAAACAAAGCAACGTCTCCATGGTTATAACAGAAGGTTCATTTGCCTAGCAGCGGCGAGGGTATAAATAGGCCAGCTTCGATGAGAAGTCTTCAGTCTCGGAATAGTCTTCGGAGAAGAAAGACGTGATCGAGCCATCTTGGAAGTCAGCCTTGGGATAACCGCCAGAAGAGATAGTCCAGCATCGCCGAGTTATTGTAAGCAGTGATTGTTACACTGCAGACTGGAATGATTGTAAAGTGTGTAAGACGAGCGAAAGGAATAAATTCGCTATATTGGGACAACGGCGTGAACTTATTTGTAGCGTGACAACTAAACACGCTACAATATCTAAAATTTTACTGAAGAGTTTATACTCAGGTTAATATATTGAAATTTATGTATATTATTAAAGTAACGTTAGGAATAAGCAATCGAATCTCATCTCAAACTACACCCCAGTATATGTACACAGTTATAACAGCTCTTGCTACCGTACATACTGGCAAATGTGTTAAACAAATTTCATGTATGTAAGATTTGAGGTTTTAACGGCGGAGACTATAAAGAAAGCAGTTTTCTGGAATGTGGCGCCGTGTAGATATTGTGTTAATCGACGTTTATGAGGAACGTATCGCCTCCATCTTCAGGGTAGAAGAAAAAAGAAGAAAATTCATGAGCGAGGAACCAGCGTAAGCAAATGCTAAGAGATGGAGGCGACATGTTCCTTTGAAACGTCGGTTAACACAATATCTACACGATGCCCCATCCCAGAAGACGGCTTCCTTCAAATTTCATGTATTTTTCGATGTTCTCTGTAGGTTCCGGGAGAGACGTTGTGTAAAGTAAAAGTTACTAGTCTCCCCTCTCTTTGTGTCACTGAACTGGCTAACTGAGGCACTAATTCTCATCGCATGAATTCAGAAAGTGTGTATTTCAAGCCACTTATATCAAACTACACATTTCGTGAAGTTCGTCAATTTCTCAGTCGAAATACCTAGATATAGACTTAAAATATACCTCTTTAAATTTCTCGTAACTTTTTCCATTTTCCTTCTTATCGTCCGTTTTCGAAATCTGCTTTAAATGGAATTTGGCCTTGTGTTGTCAGGTATCCAAAATTAGAATATACAAAATTATAATTTTGCCTGTGGTTCTGTATGGGTGTGAAACTTGGTCTCTGACATTAAGGGAGGAACATAGACTGAGGGCTTTTGAGAACAGGGTGTTGAGAAGAATATTTGGACCGAAGAGAGATGAAGTGACGGGAGGTTGGAGAAAACTACATAATGAGGAGCTTCATAACTTGTACTCTTCTCCACGAATAATTAGAATGATCAAGTCAAGGAAGATGAGTTGGGCAGGGCATGTAGCACGAATAGGGGAGAAGAGAAATGCATATAGGAAATTTGTGGGAAAGACAGAAGGAAAGAGATCACTGGGAAGACCAAGGTGTAGGTGGGTGGACAATATGAAAATGGATTTTAGAGAGATAGTTTGGGATGGTATGCATTGGATTGATCTGGCTCAGGATAGGGACCAGTGGAGGGCTCTTATGAACACGGTAATGAACCTTTGGGTCCCATAAAACACTGGGAAGTTCTTAAGTAACTGCAGAATTGGCGGCTTCTCAAGAAGGGCTCAGCTCCATAAGTAAGTTGCCAGGTACCCAGTGTCTGATAAGGATGGTGCCGTGATATCTATGCGTATCTTTCCTCTTGACACACCTGAACAGAATGTAGTGTAATAATTCTTGAGTAGGAGGAGTTACTAGCGAAATTAGAACCCATTATATTCATATTAAGGCCACGGAATCCCACACACGCAGAGCCTACATAACCCTAAAGTGGGAAGACGTCAGTCTGTGAGACTTTGAAATATTAGTCGTGAGATATTGTTAGGCTGGATAATTAACACTTTAAGGCTGAGTGATTACTGTATGTACAAAATATTCTGAATGTTGCCCACAAAGTGAGTTTCTGATTTGTGTATGATTCTCAGCCGGTCACAGAGGCTTACAGTCTCAAGCATGAAATGTCTTCGTATGCTAGAACACCGGGATCGTGGGTTCGAACGCCACTCAAAGCATGAATGAATATCTGCATTCTTGGGACGGGCTGATCACCCGGGTGAGGAGACCTACCAAGTGTCTATAAGCTTCATAGTTTCAGGTTACATCTGAATGAGCGCTGGTCAGAGGGCCCGAGTCTTCAAATAATAAGGAACGTGAAAAAGAAGAAGAAGAAGTGTGATTCTGAACAAAGAGCGATTATTTCACTAAGCAGCTTTGGTAGATTTGATCTTTTTGACAGAGAAATAATTTTCTTTGAGGTAGAAACTGAATTTTTAAATAGTTTTTGGAAGAAAGTTTACTTATCAAAGAGTTAACTGGGATTTATTCTACTTTGCCTGAAGCGTAGGCTGCAGTTATCGCAAACAGAACCACATTTATCTTTCTTAATGTTAGTACAAGTGTTGCCGTTGCCGAGCACCCTCTCGCGGTATGTCACATGTTACGGTCTTTAGACACCGAAGTACCATAATCATAATCATGTAAATATGGATGTTATTTCTTGGTGTCACACTGTAACAGTAGATTCCTTTCCATTTTAATGTAATTTATGATGTCAAGTGGAAACTAGACGACTAACATGACACTTAATTTATTTATGGTTCATATAACGGTGCTTTCAACGGTTCAGACAATATTCACTCGAATGGTAGGATGATTGCAAATGATTAATTCTAGGGGAGGTTAAGTGACGAAGATTTGACTTTAATTTGATTTCCTACCCTGTTATTTACTTAGAGGGGTTCTGGAAAGTAAGGAAAATTTTCGGGTCACATATGTTGGTCTCAGGACAAAGATTTGAAGCCAGGATCTCTAGAAAAAGAGCAAAGTTTTACAAATTACCCCAGGGCATTAGGTCCGTCGACTTCAATGTCAATAGAAGTTTTTAGTTAACATAATAAAAATATAAGATAATAACATAATATTTTTATTTATTATCATCCTACAATTCAAGGAGTCTAACTTAGAAATAACAAAAATATCGAACTTTTTATAGCCTAGTTGTCGAAATGGGAACAGCGATAACAGATCGAAACCCGATTCAGAAGGAAGTTAAGAGGCGATTGAACTCGGGTAATGCTTGCTACCATTCAGTCCAGAATCTTTTGTCTTCTCGTCTGTTGTCCAAAAACATAAAAATGACGATATACAAAAATTTAATTTTGTCTGTGGTTTTGTATGGGTGTGAAACTTGGTCTCTAACATTAAGGGAGGAACATAGACTGAGGGTGTTTGAGAACAGGGTGTTGAGGAGAATATTTGGATCGAAGAGAGATGAAGTGAGAGGAGGCTGGAGAAAACAGCATAATGAGGACTTTCATAACTTGTACTCTTCTCCAAATATAATTAGAATGATCAAGACAAGGAGAATGAGGTGGGCAGGGCATGTAGCACGAATGGGGGAGAAGAGGAATGCATATAGGAAATTGGTGGGAAAGACAGAAGGAAAGAGACCACTAGGAAGACCAAGGTGTAGGTGGGTGGACAATATGAAAATGGATTTTAGAGAGATAGGTTGGGATGGTATGGATTGGATTGATCTGGCTAAGGATAAGGAAGAGTGGAGGGCTCTTATGAACACGGTAATGAATCTTTGGGTTCCATAAAACACTGGGAAGTTTTTAAGTAACTGCAGAATTGGCGGCTCCTCAAGAAGGGCTCAGTTCCATGAGTAAGTAAGTAAGTAATTGTCGAAATGAACTAACAAAATTATTCTCCCTGTTTGTTCTCTCTTTTCCTTCGTATTTTTTTTCGTTTTTTTTTATTATGTAGTTTTAGGCCTCGATAACCTGTTCCGGTCTCCCAACACTTTTCTCCATGAGATCTCTACTACACTGCTTTTTAGACAATAACCCCATCCTTCACACGTGGTTTCGCCACTGCTTTATGTGGTTTCCAGTTTTCTTCGATGGCTCTTCCGGTCCTTTCAGAGCCCAGGCGTCTTATTCAGTTCCGTAATCATTTTTCATAGGCGGTAGGGCTCCTTGGACGAGTGATCAGTCCATCGTAAGTCCGCTACCTAAACACAGGACAACACAAATACAGAATAAACGCATACACACACCAAGCACCCAACCCATGAGGGGGATTAGAACCCACGATCTCAGCTTCCGAGAGAACGAAAAGGGTTCATGCTTTAGACGCCTCAGACCGCGTGTGGTTTCCAGTATCCTCTGCTAACGTTAGCTACACCAATTTGCTTCTTCATAAGTACTTTATTTCAATATACATAGTCAGTCGGCTCATAGATGGCGATAAGGTTGTCAGCCTTACGCGCCGGCCACCCCTTCCCCCCAGGAATATTCCTGGTACTCATTTCTGTTAGAGGCTGAGTCGACCCCAGGGCCATAGTGTGGCTGGAAGGATTAAGTTAATTGAAAAATCCAATGACCTCATTGGGACTTGAACCCGCGACTTTCCGGCTTGTAGCATCATGCCTCAACCAACTACGGTATGGTCAATATTAATCTAAAGAGATACATGTTGATTGAGAGAGATTATGGAATGTAACGCCGTATAAGTTTCGCAGGTTGGTAACGCAGAAACATCCATACTGCATATTTCATTTCACTGCACTTAAATCCAGAAGACCATAAACTTAATATTCATATCACATTATCAGTGACCTGTTGCCTTTTTCTGAATCTGTGACCAACAGAGTGATGAATGATCTCAAGAAACCAGGTTATAATGCTCAAGAGCATACCAAGCACGAACAGAGAACATGCTCCTTCAAGATGTGACATGGTCAGTACACAGAAACCATCGTTAATTGGTACGTTACCGAAATGTTTCCCAAACTTCCTCCTTATATCTTTAACCCATTTGTCGATGAGCCCAGCATTCTGGAGCCGTAAGACAATAGAATCAATCCGCTTCAGTAAAATGTTGCCTTTCTTCAAATATATTACCATATATCCTTGTTGTATATTGTCCTTAAGTGGCACATATAATGGTTTTCCATTCTTCATATATTTTATATATGACAAAAATTCAAGGCCATTCCTTCCTCCAGCAACTGCTAAGTCTCCTTTATAAGCCATTCTGTCTAAACATACAAGACTAGTTTTCAAATCACAGTTGATATGTGATTTTAATATGCGCTTGTTACGTGGATCTGATGAATCATTAAAGTGAAAATTAAGGCCACTTTGAATGCCTAATTCAATACCAGATTCCAATAAGCCATCTAGATCATTAATGCGTGGCAAATGGCCAGGATTTGTGAGGAATCCAATCAAGGAAGATTGATAAGCATTGTTAATTTGAAGACAATAGAAAGACCACAACAAGAAGAATACTTGACTCTGTGTCCGTTTCGGCTTTTTATTCACAGATTCCGACAAGAGCATGCTTAAGGAATTCATAAATATCAGAATAATGTTTCTGAAGGACGTGGTTTCTCTGTCACTCCTCTGAGCGCTGGCGAGGGCCCAAAACGTGAATGATCCTAGGACATAAACCGACAATACAAGTAACCAGAAACTTGGGTTAAATATCCTAATGAGGCTCTGCCAACGAGGAACATCTTTTTCGTTTGGGACAAACCAAGTAAATGCTCCAGTGTAATGTGTCCAAGTACCATCAAGGTGAAGTAGCAGCTCATTGTTAAGCCACTGTGCACCAAAATATCCGTGGACTTTAACACGGTCTTCTGGTCTGCGCAGGACTAGATTGAAATTCGTAAATTCTGCCACAGTTTTGATTATTCGTATCTCTAAGCCTTCGTCAGGGCTAGTAGTAGCATTGCTGTCGGACGACATAACGAGAGGAGGCCACGAGGCATAAGCCATTGTCACATTTCTGCCCCCCAGATTTGCTATTGATTTCGCTGGAAATAGATTAGCATTTTCCCTAAACAAACTGCCTCTTCCTTCCTCGTCTTTCACCCAGCGATCGAGGAAAGTTACATCCAAATTGTGAGTCCCACTGCTCTCTGAACTGAACGGGAACCAGGTAAAAACGTCAATATCGTGTGCTTTTAAACTCGCCTCAGTTCTGTCGTTATGAACTGGTTCTGGTATTAGAAAAATAGCGTCTAAAATATCCAAAGATAGAGAAATATTTAAAGCAGAGAGAGCTATGACGTGCTGGTCGCGTGTAGAAGAAGGGACGGCTGTTGATACAATGACGTAACGCGCACGTGGATTCCCAAACCGACTTGTAGCGAACGACATGAGCGTGCGGTGCAAAAGGCCTTCACTTCTGGATTCATCCTCATTTAATATAAGAATCACTACGTCCGGCTTTACCGCAGTGTCTCTTGTCATGTTGTTCACATTTCTGCTGGTACTGAAGGTCAGAACTGGCCAATTCATCGCAACATGTATTTCTCTGAATACAGCAAATCGAAGTCCGTTCTGTGGTTTATTGCTAGACCACGAATCTTCCGTAAACATTGCCAGAGAGCTGCTAATATTGAAGTAAGTATAACTGATGTTTACAATTCCCTTCAGTAGATGTCTCTCCAAGACTGTGGTGCCATCTGGTACAGCCGGGAGAACACAGTTTCCAGGAAGGAACCACTTTAGTAATATCAGCAACTGCAGATTTCGGACTGGAATCATCATGGGCCTGAAGAACAGAAATACTCTTATATGAACTCAATAAGATTTTGCATGATTTGCTTTTAAAAATTTATTATGAGATAAAAATTAAACTGTTAATTTTTTGTATAATATTTGAGGTTTTCACGACGGTGACTAAGAAGAATGCCATCTTCTGGGTTGTGGCGCCGTGTAGATCTTATGTGAACCAACGTTTCGGAGGAACTTATCGCCTCCATTTTCAGGGCACAAAAATCAGAGAGCGAGGAACCAGCGTGAGCAGGTGGTTTTAGACTGTTAATTCTACTGTTTCCTATCTGGAACCTAATTGTAAACATCTAAAAATATTATGAAATTCACTCCGTAAATATTACGTAGCCGCGACCATTAAAACTGCATTGTGCGCAAGGAAGATGGCGGTCTTCTCAGGCGCAATTAAAATCCAGCTTCCCAGTCTTATTTTATTTCACGAATAAATTTTAATCTCTTCATCTCTTTGTTTGATATTTTATCCACTGCATGTTGTCATATTGACAAGAAAATCATATTCCTGTAGAAAATCGAGTGCGCCTGCGTGCTGAGCAATGAGAGCTGATGCAACGCTACATAGACTCGATGCGGTCAGGGTCGTTATATCACCAACTTCAGAAGATAATGTAACATCTGTAGGCAGTACACTACCGGGTTGCATTCTTCCAGATTCGAATCACCGACAGACCGTTTACGAAAGGTAAAATTATCTCTGTACTCAACTAAATAGGCAGTAGGCCAGAAGGCTTATTGTGGTATCGGCACTAGTTGGAGGTGAGTGATCAGCTTCACGCCCCTGCTGTTTTGCTGTTTTATCCCCGAGGAAAAAGCCTATGGTACCCACTGGATAGGAGGTTTGGTGGACCCCAGAGCCGGTCCGGACCACGTGGAGAGGAGAAATTTCTCTACCCTGCCGGTACTTGAACTCCGACCCGTCGGCCGTCCAGCCCGTAGCTAGTCACTATACCGACTGAGCTATTCCGTCTCCAGGAGACAGACTATTTATGCCTGACAAAAATGAGTACCCTAAGTCTAACACAACCTGTCTCGACGCTGAGTTTATAATCCGGAATCTCCAAAGAGGAGTGCTACCTACTCGACAGGAAATATGTGTTCTGTCACGTGCTTCAGACAATTCACTGTCATGTCACTGCTCTCAGGCAGCCCTCACTTCTCTTATATTCACTCTTCAGATTTCAAATGCTTTGACTTCACAGATTGAACATTACAATGAATTTACCAGCAAGAAACCTATATTTGTATCAAGCAGAAGTATTAAAGATCCAGACCATGGAACTGGAGAATAGAGTGAGCTGTGTGGAGCACAAAAGTCTTCCAGCACATCTCTCTCCCAATGCCTGTACCGCTACCAGTGCAGTTCTACAAACTGCCCCCCACAATCATTCCCAGTTATACATGTTACATGCACTGGATTTCGAAACAGCTATTAAGATTATTCTATTGCAAGTATTTCTAAGATAGAGTGGCGTATAGACCAATTGCTAAGCGGTGACTCTGTAAACAATGACCGTTTCTGGGAGACGGCTCGGTAAATAGGTTCCCGCGGCAACGGATACGCACGCAACGAAAGAGTTACTGTTGGAAACGGTGGGTTTCTGCGTGGTTCGTGCCATGATCTTATAAGCAGGAGACAAAATCCGTTGTTAGGCAGTTCTGCACGAGAGGCTGTGAAGACAGAACTTCGGCATGGGAAGCTGAAGAATTTCCACTGTTACAAGCCGTTGCCAAGAAAAGGCTGATGAAGACACAGCAGGCTGGAAAAGGCTTAGCGGTGGCGCTGTAATTATTTGTACTGACGAGTCGTGTGTGTAAGCGTTCAATACATCGAGCCACCAATCCGAACCCTTCTATGGTCACCCGTACACGTGACAATATTGTGACAAAATAGATCCCTTGCTAAGTAACGACCGCGAAATAGCAGCTCTAAAGAGTCGCTGCTAGGTAATGACACTGTACATAACGTCCATTGCTGTGTAATTAGAGCAAAAGATTCGTAACACGCAAATAATTGAGTGACTAAGAAGCGGTGTTCTCTATGTAGTCAGTGCAATAGATACGTAATGCAACGATAGAAAACTGCAGGAAGATGAGTTTTCTGTGGGTAGCGTGCCAAGGTTTTATAAGCAGAACAATACTTGATTTAATTATTGTGAGACAGTCGACGGTCAGTAAGGACTCGAACACGGAAGCTGAGGGAGCTATGAAGTTGAAGCCGTTACCGGGCGACAACCGGTAGAGCTAAAGCACACTGAGAAGACTTTGTGCGTGCTGTAGTGAATTGTGGAATGAGTGAATTAGCGATAGCGCTATAGTTGCTTGTAGTTACGTCCTGTAAGTGTTCAATAAATCCAATTACCAATTCAAACCCGTCTGTAATCCCTCACTTACTTGATAATATTAAAAGGTAAAGGACTGGCATTAGAGCCTTTGCCTCTTTCTGGACGTATACCTCTAGCTTTTCTTAATATTCGGTACTAGATGGAAATAAGAGGTTAGTGTTACTCCCCGGCCATTTTGTTGCAGGGAAAAGAGCCCACCATACTCTGTTCTTGAGGATATATAATTGCAGACTCCCTTAACCTTCGACACTAAACGGTATAAACTGTTGTTGTGGAAGTATATCCCCAGTCTTTATTTTCCTCAGACACTTGGAAGTGAAGGATTACATCCACGCCCAAGATTCTTTAATCCCAGTAAACAGCTCCTGCTACCCAATTTTTCCCTTGGCACTACAGCCCCAGTGGGCCTAGGCCTACCTCCACGAACTTCTCCGTTCACTTCGGTTTTTCTAGATCTTACACATTCGCTAGGACTCCTTGGGCGGGGGATCAGCTCGTCGCAAGGCTACTACCTGTACACAAACACAGAAAAACGCACACACACAAACTAAACATCCATGCCCTGAGTGGGATTCGAACCCACGATCCCGGTTTCCAACAGAGCGAAGACAGTACACGCCTTAGACCGCTCGGCTACCGTGATTGGCCCTGTTACACATTACTCCCTAAATAATTGAAATATCTGCTGTTGTGTGAGTAATGTGACAGATTGCATCCGTTACCTGTACTGCAATTTCGCAGGTCTTGAAAGAAGTAGCATCTATCTCTGAGTCCGTTCCTTTATGTTAGCCAGTACGAATCACTTTTAGCTAAATTACTTGTCCCCGAAACCCCGCATTTTATATAAACGTTGTATGTTGATGTCTGAATATTATGACTGGGTAATTTGTCAAAATCAATAAGCATTTAGACTGATTAGACTGCAAACGTCCGCCTAATGGCAGTTCTCAATTTACATATAGAAAACAAACTGAGGTACCTATTAGTCTTCCTGGATGTGTTTGCTTTCCTTATCAACAGCACAGTAAATTTCAGCTTTTAATTTTAAGAAGGGGCAACAGTCAAATTTTGGAGTGCCCCCCCTCCGTGAAGTTGTGCCCCTCAAATTTGAGAGACTGTTTCAAGACTGATATTTTTATCAAAAAAATATTATGACACATCTAGGAATAAAATTATTTAAGATTAATTTTACCCGCAAATAAATAATTTTAGACAATATACTTGTTCTAATTGAGATTCAGTACCGTCCAATAAATGGCTCATCAAATTATAAATGAATTATGAAGTAACATTTTCCCTCTCGAGAAACCGTTCCACCACATTCTGTACTAATGGTATATCTGTTTTCCCGTCAAGAAGCAATTTAACCACTACAAAGTTGTGGTACCGTTTTGCGAAGGAATGAAGAGAGAGATTGGCTGAACATTTAAAGTTGAGGGCAGGTTGAAGCGAAGAGTTAGATTTAGCAATAAACACAAAGGAAACTGAGCGGTTTACACGTTTGTATCTCACCATCGGAATGAAGCACATGATTATAATTAATACGTTCTTTATCTAAGTAGGAGCTCCAAATATTTGGGAACTGCAATAACAAATAAAATTTAGAAAGTCGTCTTCTGGGATCTGGCTCCGTGTATTCTTGGTTTAACCGACGTTTCGGAGGAACGTATCGCCTCCATCTTCAGGGCAGGTGAATCGCGATGCGAATACAGAGAGCAGGAGCTGCAGCTCTCTGTATTCGCATCGCGATTCACCTGCTCTGAAGATGGAGGCGATACGTTCCTCCGAAACGTCGGTTAAAAACAAAAGAATACACGGCGCCAGATC